TCTTAAGCTCCTAAGTATATGTAACAGGTTATGTCACATTAAATGCAATTAAAATAAGCAAATTGAAATGATAATTTTTGAAGATGGCACTAAATATATATATATATATATATATATATATATATATATATATATATATATATATATATATATATATATATATATATATATATATATAATTATATATAAATATGTAAATGTAAATGTAATGTAATGTGTATTTATATAGCGCATTTATTGTGTATGGCAATACACCCAAAGCGCTTCACAATCATGAGGGGGGTCTCTTCACACCCCCACCAGTGTGCAGCATCCACTTGGATGATGCGACGGCTGCCACAGGACAACGGCGCCAGTGCGCTCACCACACACCAGCTATTGGTGGAGTGGAGAGACAGTTATAGAGCCAATTCGGTGGAGAGGGGATGATTGGGAGGCCATGATCGTAAGGGCCGATAGAGGGACTTTGGCCAGGACACCGGGGTTACACCCCTGCCCTTTCACGAGAAGTGCCATGGGATTTTTAATGACCACAGAGAGTCAGGACCTCGGTTTAACGTCTCATCCGAAAGACGGCGCCCACTGACAGTTTTAGTGTCCCCTTCACTTTTACTGGGGCATTAGGACTCACACAGACCACAGGTTGAGCGGCCCCTGCTGGCCTCACTAACACCACTTCCAACAGCAACCTAGTGTTCCCTAGTGGTCTCCCATCCAGGTACTGACCAGGCTCAGCCCTGCTTAGCTTCAGTGAGTAACCGGTCTTGGGCTGCAGGGTGACATGGCTGTGGCCATAATATATATATATATCCTACCTGACAAAAGTCTTGTTGCTTATCCAAGTTTTAGGAACAACAAATAATACTTCTAGTTGATCATTTGGTATAAGAAGTGGCTTACTGTATATGAAAGGCAAAGGCCTCTAGATTAAGCTTATTTAATCAAAATAAAATATGATCATGCCTTGATTTTTAATTATTTTATTAAAACAGTAAGGTCTGACCTTGCTTAGACAAAAGTCTTGTACCTTAACAGAAATAATATACAGTATGGAATATCTAGTCATGATGCAGTGAAAAAAGAATTCATATTGTGTATGACTCCCATGAGCTTGCATCCATACATCTCTGCAATGACTCAAAGAAATCATTAATAAAGTCATCTGGAATGGCAAAGAACTTTCAGAGTTCATCAAGATTCATCTTCAAAGCCTCCTCAGCGCATCCTCAGATGCTCAATAATGTTCATATCATGTGACTGGGCTGGCCAATCCTGGAGCACCTTGACTTTCTTTCCTTTCAAGAACTGTGATGTAGAGAAAAGTCCATTTAAGGCAAGTCATTTTACTTGGCAGTGAAATGTGGGACTCTCAGGCCTCATATAGGCAGTATGCTCGGGCATTCTGTTTGAATGGGGAAACATCAAACTCTCTAAAACTACTTGCCAAGCTTACAATTTAATTTCATATTGCGAATACCTATTAAAATTAAACAATAGTTGTCTATTTTGTTTAATTTCTAAATGTTCGTATGACACAAAATCTGCAGAGTCACGTCTGGTCAAGCCTCTCCCTTGAAGATTTGTCATTCTATAACGATCGCTGATTGGCTTCTGTACTAGAAGGCGGGACTTCATTTGCCATATAGCGATCACTGATTGGCTTCTGTACTAGAAGGCGGGGCTTCATTCACCATATAGCAATCACTGATTGGCTTCTGTACTAGAAAGCGAGGCTTTATTCGCCATATTGACAGTTACACTTTTCCCCATTCAAAAGTATACGAGTGACATGTCTTGTGTATTCTGTAGTCTTTATGTAGAGGCTGAAGTATGAGAAGGAGTGCTATCCTGCTATTAAATTTATTATTAAATATATATCAAATTTAAACCTTAACTAATTCCTAGATTCGATCTAATATATCCATCAATTCAAGTAATCTTTCAAGTAATCATAAATAATAATAATAATTATAATAATAAATTAGTAAAACAAAGAAACAAACACAAAACAAAACTGTATGAATGTTTAACCTTTTATTTTTAATCCTTTTAGGCAAAGAAAAATACATAGCAACTTTATTGATACTGAATACATTATAATATATATTTACATATTTTATGTCAAAAAAGTGGCATAGTCTTTTAATAACCCGCAATATTTTTCTAATATTTCAATGAGTGTGCTACAAAGGCTTCATACTCACATATGACAGGTTTATGTGCCACATCATCAAGTGTGTGTGCAACTTCTGAGCATTCGAAACTACAGGTGAAGTTGTAAACCACATCTTTGTCCACAGGAACGTCCAGTTTTTGTGAGTCTCCCAGAACACATCCATTAAACTCCACCCGAATAAAACTGAGACACGAATCGGTCCTGCTGCCTTTCTGAAATGACCACAAATGAGTGGATAAGATAAGATTTTAAATAAGATTTTAAAATAAGATTTTACTTATTATAGCAGTAAATCACATAGCAATAAATACAGTACTTTGCAAGAATATATGAGAACAGATCTCTCTTTTAAATTCATATTTTTTATAGGATACTTTACAATGTTATATTTGTGCATATACTGTACATTAGAATAGTCAGTACTGAAGCCAAGTCTAGAACTTATCCAACAAAATAACTTACCATTATGGTCCAATCATTAGTACACTAGAATGCATATGTTAGGGAAAATATTCAAAAAAAAATATTATAAGAGGAAAAATATATATTAAATTTAGTTGAAATTTTATAGTTTGCATTTTTTTCTCAATATTTCGCTTGAATTTAATTGTATTATCTTTCTATTTCTAAAACTTTTTGGTGACTAAAATATTTTTAAATACATATATCTGTTTAACAAATCTGTTTTGTTCAAATGCACCAAATATACTTTACCTATAGTCACTGAGAAATGTATAAAATATTAATTTTCAAAATGGGATGTACTCATTTATGCTGAGCACTGTATATAATATACAACAGCTATTTTACTACAGTAAAATCATTTTTTAAATCTATAATAATTAATAAAGAGTGTATTATTTAAAAAGATTGCAAGGGACTTTCAGAATCTTTTTTATTTATGTATTTATTTATTGATTAAAAACAAAAGTATTAGCCCACAATTGCTTCAGATTTGTTGGCTGCACATTCGTCATGTGAATCTCCCATTCCACCACATCCCAAAGGTGCTCTATTGGATTAAGTTCTAGTGACTGTGGAGGCCATTTGAATACAGTGAATCCATTGTCATGTTCAAGAAACCAGCCTGAGAGGATTCACACTTTATTACATGGTGCATTATCCTGCTGGAAGTAGCCATCAGAAGACGGTACAGAGTGATTATAAAGGGATGGACATGGTCATCAACAATACTCAGGTAGACTGTGGCATTGACACGAATCACACAATTGACTTAATTGGTACTAATGGGGCCAAAGTGTGCCAAGAAAATATCCCTCCACTATTACACCACCACCAGCAGCCTGATCAATTGATACAATGGATGGATGCATACAATAATGTTGTTGACGCCAAATTCTGACCCTACCATCTGAATGTCGCAGCGGAAATTGAGACTCGGCAGACCAGGCAATGTTTTTCCAATCTTCTATTGTCCAATTTTGGTGAGCCTGAGTGAACTGAAGCCTCTGTTTCTTGTTCTTAGCTGACAAGATAGTGGCACCTGTTCTTCTGCTGCTGTAGCCCATCCGCCTCAAGGTTGGACGATGTGTTGCATTCAGAGATACTCAGAGATTTTCTTTTTTTCTGACCTTTCTCTGTAAACCTTAGAGATGGTTGTGTGGTAAAATCCCAGTAGATCAACAGTTTCTGAAATAATCAGACTAGCCCTTCTGGCACCAACAACCATGCCACATTCAAAGTCACTTAAATCACCTTTCTTCCCCATTCTGATGCTCAGTTTGAACTGCAGCAGATTGTCTGACCATGCCTACATGCCTAAATGCATTGAGTTGCTACCATGTGGCTGATATACCTAATAAAGTGGCCGTGAGTGTATTACTATATAAGTATTAGAAACTCCAAGAGTTCAGTCAAAGCAGGGTGAATCTGCCTTCAGCCACTACGCCCCTCGCTGCTGGAATCAGCTTCCAGAAATGATCAGATGTGCTCCAACATTAGGCACATTCAATTCGAGACTGAAAACACATCTGTTTAGCTGTGCCTTTACTGAATGAGCACTGTGCTAAGCCCGACAGATTGCACTATTATGTTTTTATAACCTATTTTAACTAGTTTTAATTTGTTTTTATCTGTTTTTATTCATTTTTATTGTCTGCATTTTATGTTTCTAAACTTGCCTTTTTTATTCCTGTGTATGTAAAGCACTTTGAATTGCCACTGTGTATGAAATGTGCTATAAAAATAAACTTGCCTTGCCTGCCTATATTAAAAGAGGGCTAATTATATATATATATATATATATATATATATATATATATATATATATATATATATATATATATATATATATATATATATATATATATATATATATATATATATCATTAAAACAGATTCTGAAAGAAAATTATTGATACAAGTGGTGGCTCATGAAAATAAATTATTTTAATTAATTAATAATTGTTAATTATTTTATTACTACATTGTGCTACAGTTTTATTGTGAAATCAAATAACACACTTCTACCCGAGTAAAGTAATAGTAACATTTAAAGAAAGAGTTTGAAACCAACACCAACACATTAACCCTGATATAAAGCCTTATGAAAACTAGCTTCGCTTGTGATTACTGTTTTTAATTTCACGCTAAAATGTTAAAGATATTTTAACTGACTGTAATGATTTCTTACCAAACGACTAGCCGACATTACAGTGACCTGCACAGCCACAGCTCTCCCGAACTCTCTGTTATTCTCCATGTTAAAAAAAAAACAAGCTAATTCAGTTTCTCCTCACCACTAAACAACTGTTGCTCAACGAGCTTGTTTCCATAGCAACGATGCACAGTGTAGGTCTCGCGATACGTGAACGTGGTGTTTTGAAGCCGCGCTGCTGTGTGGACGTGAACGCAGCACAGGAGGGTGACGCTGAAGTTTTCGTTTATCTCTTTCTTTATTTTGACAGTCCGAGTTAAATGTTTAATTCAAGTTCACAAATGAGCTAAAGGTACTTGCTGGATGGATAAACGAAAGTGAAAGTGGGGTTCGTAGACAACAACGCGCGCGCTTCCGGCGGGTAACTAGAATCTATCACTCACTCCATGATAAGAGTCTTAAAAGTTTCTATAACGTTTCAAATGAGTTGTTATTGTTCAGTACGCACTTTGTAGTAAAGATAAATAACTGAGCTTTAAAACAAAACAATATGGCTGTTAAATAACTGAAATTTGTGACATATGTGCTTGAATACACTCGCCGGCCACTTTATTAGGTACACCTTACTATACCGGTTTGGACCCCCTTTTACCTACAGAACTGCCTTAATCCTTCGTGGCATAAATTCAACAGGGTACTGGAAATATTCCTCTGAGATTTTGGTTCATATTGGCATGATAGCATCACGCAGTTGCTGCATATATCATTTCAATGAATAATTTCACGTTACATTTTCTATGATATCTGAAATATTAAAGTGGAAACTTGCTTTTAGGATGCGCTCAATCTTTAATCATCACTTACCTATGCTATTTGTTAAATATAATTTTTACATAACATTTTCTATTGATAAATGTTTGTATATTGGTTGAATGTACACTTAATATGCTTAAGTAAATACTCTTCAGAATGATTTGGAGCTTTATAACAATAGTATTTAGGTAACTGAACTTTGTGACATCTGTGTTTATATATATATTATATATCTGTACATAATATTTACTCAGTGACAGTTTTGAGGTTATTTCACTCATATTACAATCATACTCGTAAGCTATCTGAAATTTTTTAGTAGACAGACACTTGCCTTTAAAGGCATAGTTCACCCTGAAATAAAAGTCAATGCACTATTTACTAACCCTCAAGTCGTTGTAAAGCTTTATGTGTTTCTTTCTTATGTTGGACAAACAAGATGATGTTTTGAACAAAGGTGGAAACCTGTAACCACCGACATCCATAGTAGGATAAACAAATACTGTGGAAGTCAGTTCAGTTTATTTATTAGGATTAACCCCTTGAGATGTACCATCTCATTTTCAAGGGGCTCCAACAATTCATCTCAATCACATAATAATAATGCCACAAGACAAAACAAAACACAAAATACATAGCATCCATAAAACAACAACAAAACATAAACATAAACATTAACAGAAGGGGAAGTCGTATATATATAAACACATTTATATTCATAGTACATAAATGTTCATATTATGTCAATGGTTACAGGTTTTCAGCATTCTTCAAAACATCTTCTTTCATGTGCAACAGAAGAAAGAAACTCATGAAGGTTTGGATCAAGTAATTGGTGATTTAAATGACTGAATATTTATTTTTGAGGTGAACTATCCCTTTAACACGCTCTCGGTGTACATAAAATCAGTTTTTGGCCTTGTTTGTTTGTCACTTGCCTATTAGCATTGGTTAAAAACTGACAGTTTTTGTGCGTTTCTGTCAGATATTGAGCATGTCTCTTCTTCATGCTGTTGATGAAGCTGTGAAGATGTGCAGAGCTGAAGAATCAAGACTCACTGAAAACGTCAGGCAGTGCAAAGAGATTTTAAACTCAATGTAAGATGATGTTTTTCTTTTATTTTCAACTTTTTATTGACTTTTTTTTTGTTATAGCATACTTGTCTTGAAATAGATGATGTAAAGTTAATTTTGTTTAAAAAAAAAATAAATAAATGATTGTCGTATTTTTGCAGGAGAACACGTGTGACAGAAACCAGTCACTTGGAAAATCCATCCAGCACTGATATTATAGATGGTAAGAGGATAATATAATTAAGCAATATCACACGAGTAGCAGTGCGATATGGTTGTATATCGGTATGGTGGGAGGCGTGTGCTGGCTCGAGGCCTCAGGCCAAGCGCCTTAGTGTGCACTTACACTGTGCTATCCGAACCGTGCCCAGGCGTGTTTCCCAGTTAGTTTGAGAAGTCTGAGTGCTCCGAATCGGGCTCAGGCGTGGTTCCATTGGCCTGCCTCTGGCCCAATTAGAAGAGGTGTGCCAGAGCGCGGTTCAGTTGTGCTTTGGTACAGTGCACTTGTAGTGCGAGTACAAAGCGTGCCCCACCCCGAAACTGAAGACGTGACAAAACTTTAACAGACTGCTTCATATAGATTCATTAATCATTCTTACTTTTCAATGAACACAAACTGTCGTAGTTTATTAAAGATGCAAACCCCTCACTGCACATCAGCTGCACCTTCAGCAAACCTCCTAATACCTGCAGCATGAGGAATTTTTATTTATGAGCGTCAAAAGTGGTGGATTTGATCAAATAATTATTTGACTGCATGTCTCTGCATCTCAAATGACTAAAACTATATACTGTAACTAAAGCAATCGCCACTGTACAGAGCGACAGTGCTTCTGTTAAACTCAACAGTCGTGCTCAGGTTCGCATAGCAAATGCCGGTGTGAGTGCAGGCCGCCAGGGGAGATAGGAGGTGGGACAATCGTGATTCAGGATGATTCAAGGCAACTGTACCTAGTGTGAGCAAGCCCTTAGTGTCCCACCAGTGACGATATACGGCCATATCGCACTGCTATGAGTGTGGTGTTGTGTTTATACAACAGTTCAACAGCATAATTGTGTGTATAAAAAAAGAAAATGAAACAGAGTCTCAAAAATCCTTTTGTATAAGGAACTACTTTCTTTCACCATTCATACGCAGCTGTAGCAGAACAGCAGAAACTGTTGCTACTTCACAAACATCACTTTATAGCTAGTATTTGAATGATTCTCTAGCGTGATGTCTAAAGTGAAGACAAAACAGGTGATTTTGCTCACATTTTAAGATTATAAGGCTAAACGGGATGAAATGCCTTCAGTCTACAGACATTTCCCAGTATTTCTCTGTTGCAATCGGGAGATTATAATAACCCCGAAAAAGCCAAAGAATCAGATTACTATGATATAAATACTGCACAACAAAATACCAAAGAGAGAGTCAGATCGACTTAGATAGTTACTTACCTGTTTTATAATGATTTGATTAGCTTTTGTTTAAAATTACACTGAGTTTTTCTCCTCTAAGGGGGTTGTTATGCAGTCTCTATCACCATCTTGTGGAGGAATGTCATCTGTCTTTGCTCTGCTCAGTATGACAGGATAATGGCAGCAAACACAGTGAATTTCCTATAAAATAGGCACTATCCTTATAAATAAACTGCATAGACAATCTAAACAACTATATTCTCACCTGAAAAAGCCTCAAAAGTACATTATGTTGTCCAACATCTGCAATATTTGTCAAACTGAGTCAATTCATCTGCTGTCACTTTATATGGGTGAAGTAATACACAAGGGTAAAAAGGCTGTATGAGTGCTGTTATTATGAGAATATCGCTCTGCTATCAGCCAATCAGATTCGAGAACCAGACACAACTGTTTATTTATCATAAGGCAAGGTAAGTTGATTTATATAATAGTGTTGTCAAACGTACATATATATTTTTTTATTTTTTTTTATATTTATTTTTTTATATATTTATATATATTTATATATATATATATATATATATATATATATATATATATATATATATATTTATAAATAAATATTGCTTAAAGGGGCTAATAATTTTGACCTTAACATTTTTTTAAACAAAATGAAAAATTGCTTTTGTTCTAGCTGTAATAAAACAAATAAGACTTTCTCCAGAAGAAAAAATATTATAGGAAATGCCTTGAAAAATTCTTTGCTCTATTTAACATAATTTGGGAAATATTTGAAAAAGAAAAAAATTCACAGGAGGGCTAATAATTTAAACTGCATATAATTTATATGATTAATTTATGTGTTTAATTAAAATCTTTTGACAGCACTATGAAATTTATCTATAGACTCATACACAATGTTTGTTTGTGCTTCCTAAAACAGATATTTTACCTCAGGAAAAGCAAGAAATTGAAATGTTGGAGCAGGTGTTGAAAAAAGCGCTGAAAATCCGCAACACATCTGAGGCTCAAAAAGAACTTCACCCTGATGGTGCCCATAAAAAACACTGTAACAAAAGCAAGCATAAAGCTCTTGTTAATTATACAGTTAAGGAAGAAGGTAAAAGAAAACCAGAGAAATATGTTTCCACATCTGAGACGAGCAAAAAGCCCAATCACAGACGAGCAGCTGGTGGGAGTGTGACCCACGGGGCTCCCTGGACACGGCCTGTCCTGCTCCGGAAAAGTTCAACTGCTCATACAATGTCTAGAGGAAGGCTTACAGTCCCAAAGAGTTCTTCGGTAAAGATCTCTTCCACAGAATCCCAACAGAAGATCTGTGTCAAAACCACAAACATTAAAGAGTCATCTGAAGATGATTCACCATCAGTCTCTTGCCAAGAAGCGTCAACATCTGGCAAAGATGAGAAATCCACAACAGAAAGCGAGCAGTGGTATGTATGTGATGAGATATTCATTTGTTATATATATATAATTTTTTTTATATTTATATTTATGATATGATAATGAAATCTCATAGCCAATGTAGCTTGTATTACAGTAATCTTTAATATTAAATTTAACATCTTTATCTAAAAGTTTTATTTAGTCACTTATTTAGATTATATTTATTCATTTTTTTGTTTATTTATTTATTAATTAATTTATTTATTCATTTATTCATTCATTATATTCTGAATTCTGTTTTAAAATGTACTTTAGCATAGTTATTTTAAATGATAAAAGTTATTTTAAGCTTAATTTTACTGTTTTTGTTATTGTGCTTTTAATCAAATTAATGCAGACTTGGAAAGCAGTTTAAAGAAACATTTAAAAAATGTTAGCATCCCCCAGTTTCTGTTGTATATGGTGTTGTATATGCATTGCATAATAATATATTTTATTTATAGTTTTTCCCACCTTTCTTTCTTTTTTTTTCATCTAGGATACCGTCTCCTTTGATGCCAGTCTGGCGAGCACAGAGAACGAAACAGAACCGGTCAGTGTGATATTTTCTTTAATATTGTAGTATTTTGGGTTCACTACAAGCTAAGCATTATGTAGCAATAGTAATTTAGACGCTTACAATGTGGATCAGTAAATCTTTAAATAGTGTTGTGAAATCAAATTCACACCTTATACATTTGAAAATGAGACTAAAACGTCAATCTAATATTTTAGTCTTGTTAAGTGACAATGTCTTTTAAATTTCACATAAAACGCACATGAGACTTTGTTTTAATGTAATTTAATATTTAATTTAGTTGATTTTGCATTAAAAAGAGAAAGCTTAACTTGCATTAAACCCTTAAAAGTTAATTACAAATAACAGAATTTAAAGAAATAAAGAATTTAAATCATCATTATTTTTGATATTTATTGTTTTGACAAGGAAAAAAATGTGACATTTTTTATTAATAATATTGTATATTTTTTTTTACAGATTGTGGAGGAAAGTGTTAGACCAGCAATCAAAGCCAGTTCCAGAAAGATCTCGGTTTACAGAGAGACTTCGGGCAACTGTATCCTTCAGAATTGTCTCACTTGATCAGTCTCAAAAAGTGGATGCATGCAGTTATTATTTCTCCTGTTGGTGTGGTTTTTTATACTAATCCAGGACTAAACTCCAATGTATACTGTATGTGTAACAGATCTACTTATGGTTTAGGATTTTCTGAATTTTACACTTTGTTTATTCTGTCCTGAAGGCAGCTGCGCTCCAAAATAACAATAATGTTTTGCTGTTGCCATTTTTTCCCCTGCACTTTTTTTTCTTTTAATCTGAAATATTTCATATTTTTAACATGCTTCTTAGTTCTTATTACATTTCTATGCCTTACACATAATGTTTACCCCAAATGTATAGATATAATTTTCAACATGGGTCTCAAGTTATCCATTAACTTCATTACTTTCTTTGGAAAATTATCTAAAATTTTAAAGATACAATGGCAACACATAAGGAACATTTAAAATGATACAAAATGCCTTAAGCGACTAATAACTAGATCTTTATTTGGCTAAAACAAGTCAAGTTCATGATTAATGTAATTTCGCTACATGTGTGCACATACAGTGGAATGAAATGTCGTGTCTTGCAAGACCACGTTCCTACATAAATAAACTTAATCATAAATCTGATCACAACACTGGACGTAAGAGGGGTCCTGGTTTTAGAAGCTCGGGTCTTACTGTCATCCAGCCTGTGCAGATCTACAAATCTGCCACTTTAAAGAACTACATATCCAGTCATGCACCACTCGCATGCACCTGTTCCTCATTCAGTTAATTACACCCATAAACGACTGGGAGCTGCTCATGAACTGATTGATGAACTGACTTTATAAACAGCACACATGCACACTTCAGAGTCTTGTTTAACTGACATTACGACGCAATTTCCTTTGCCTTGCCTTTCTGTGTTTGACCCTTGCTTTGTTTGTTTATTTACATTGCTTTCTGCCTGTGCTGACCATTCACCTGTTTAATGACTCTGAATTGCCTATATACATCTGTTTGACCCTGTTGATCGTTGATTACCTGACCATTCTCCTAATAAACCCTGCATTTATATCCACACCTTTGTTGTTTGCATCCCCTTCACATTACATTGGGTGGTGCATAATAACAGTAGCTCTCGTCTTAAATAATGATTTATGAAAAGATCAGAGCTCAAATAACACGCACTTTAAGTAAGATGTCATGTAAATTAAAAGCTTTTACTTGTGTATCAATCATAAACTGGCACTAATTAAAGGTCTCGTGAAATTAAAATAAAGGTTTTTTAGATGTTAGTATCAGTATGCTAGTCTAATGCTGTGTTCACACTAGATGTGGCACGCGTGAATAAATTGTGCTGTTTACATTTTGAGTTTACCTGCTTCATTCGCACATCACATTTGCTTCATTCGCACGTGAAATTCACTTCACAATAGATGCGGATTTGCGTCATGGTTGGAGCTTCTGTCTGCCCGGTCAATCAAGCTTCATTGCTAAATGGCTAACATGGATTTTATTGAGAGAGTAGTTGTTTTTATGTGCTTTAGGAAGGCTGAAAAACAGCGTATATTTGTTCGACGCTGTGTCTGAGTCCAGTAGATCCTTTCTGAGGTGCACCCAGCTCTGTGAGTTCATCAACTCCTGAAACTGTACCTGGATGATGAAAGCTTTCAGCGGTGCTTCTGACTGAGTTAAGCACAGTTTGATAAGCCGTTGTCTGGTGTTGGCAGTATTTCGGAAGTATTTCCCCTTGGGATACCAACAACAGGCACTACATCATAATCACGCCTCTACAAGAGCAAACTCCTGATTGGTTAATGAGGCGCGAATGTTGCAGGGTTCATTCGGTTATGAAAAACCTGGAAAAGTCATGGAATTTTGAGATGGCATTTTCCAGGCCTGGAAAAGTTTCGAAAAAATCAGAAAAACCCATAAGGTTTTAGAAAAGTCATGGAAATTACATTCACACTTAGTCATTTAGCAGACATTTTTGACCAAAGCGACTTAAACTGTGGTCACACTACAGTTTGTGCTTGCAATATTCAGTCGTGCGGTGCTGCGAAAAGGGGCGGGGTTAAACAATAAGGTTAGATGTTAATTAAAATAAGCGATTGCTCCATATATTAAATTTCTCATTTTAAATTATCTTCTATTAGTCTTACGCAATCACCTGATGTGATTTCGTAGGTAAGAATTCACCAAGCTTGAACTTTCGATTGCAGTGAAATGCGAAACACATGCTTGCGTTTCTGGTCTGCCGCATTTGCATGAATGGAAGTCTATGGAGAGAAAAGTGCAGTGTGATCGCGGCTTTATAATAGAAGTAGTTTTACCTATTATTACTAGTTTAACAAACTATTAAGTCTATCTAAAATTAGTTTGACAAATATTTGTATATTGTAATGGAGTTGTTTTTACTTCTCTTCTTTCTTTGGCCAAAAACATTCTCTAACGTTATTAGTGCTGCGTTAGCATCATCTAGTTTACATGGATATCAAAATAAATTGAAACTATTGCGTGTTTTATAAAATGCTGTAATAACTGTAAATGTTTCTTATGATTTACGACGTATATGTAGACATTACATGAAACATTAGGGCATGAAAATTGACTTAAAAGTCCTGGAAAAGTCATGGAATTTTGTAGTAAAAATGTGTATGAACCCTGATGTTCGCTGAAGTTCAGATTTTCCAACTCGAAAACTTCCATGTTAAGTCAATGCAAAGCCACAAAAAATCTTCCTGCGGTGCGTTTTGTGCGAATGAGGCGGCGTAAATGACGCAAATCGTACCTCAGAATGTCTGTTCATGTCTTTGCATTGACTTAACATGTAAATCACTTGCGTTTTAACGCTTCATCCGTGTCTGGTGTGAACAAAGCATTAAGGATATTTATTTAAGCTAGTGTGCTCCAAAACAGTGACAAAATGCATAATTAGATGCTAAAAACACCCAAATCTCGAAGTTTGTCACTTTTGACTAAATGGATTGTTTTGACATAACCTCATATTTCAATTACTCTTCAAATCTTCCAACCAATCAAAGGCTCTCTAGTATCTAGTATAACCCGCCCTCTTCATTTGCACTTAATCTCAACCACTCCCACTGGGAGAGCTGTGATAAAATGGAAACTCAATTGGCTGTTTTTTTTTAAATGGGAGGAGCTACTCTATGCCCCACCCTCTCCTTATATTTCAGTTGAGATGACATCAATCATCAAATAATAAAATGCACATTTCAAAGCGCTTTACATAGCATCTGGCTAAGTTTTAGATGTACTCCGGCATGCATTATTTGCTCTTGACTGCTGTTGTACCAGTTCCCATCAGAATGGCCTTCCAGACCTCCTGCTAATTTCCCAACAGAGATGGATGTGTTTTCACAGCATTGTCTTGACCTGAGACACTGCTTCCACACTGAACTACAGGCCCTGAAGAGCTCAGATAAAGGTATACACGTCAGGGGAACAAACATGAAGGGATGCGGGAAGACAGAAGTGTGTGGGGGCTGAGAAATGAGCAACTGGACTATAAGGATCTGTCCAAGGATAACACTGTCATTTAGCCTTTATTCCTCTGAGTCACAGGACATCTTACTGGCAGGCAGTTCATTTGATGCAGATAGAGATCAAGTGTGTGTATGTGTGTGTGTTTTACAGGAACAAAGCATGAGATACAATATGAGTCCTTGCGGATGCTGGAGGGTTTGGAGAAGATGACGGCAGAACTTCTTGCGCATATTGATCATCACAAGAAAGGTACTTCACAGTCTCTAGTCGTGATGTCTGTTTGACGTCATTTTCAGGTCAGGGTTATTTACGATAAAAAAAATAAAAGCGTTTCACTGTCTTGATAAAAAAAACTTATGAAGCAGCAACACACACTGATGTTTAAAAACAACATGTTCCAATAATAGTGGATCGTGTCATGTGATATGACACACTACATCAAGTTACAGTAGGTCTCATAGGTTTTTAATGGTTATTTAAGTCTAAAAAACGACAAATATAAAGCAATTTTTGGAGCTAGAAAAAAAATACATTAAGTGTAATTTATTCATCAATTTTTTAAATTGTTTTGATAAAAATGCATTATATTTGAACAACAGAAGCTAATGGTGCACAATGTTATCCGAACCGTGCCCAGGCGCGTTTCCCAGATCGTTTGAAAAGTGGAAGTGCTCTGAATTGGGCTCAGGTGCGGTTCAGTTGGCCGGCCCTGGCTCGCTTGGAAGAGATGTGCAAGAGTAGCACGCCTGAGCCCGAAACTGAAGATGAGACATGACATTAAATGGACTGTTTAATATGGATTTATTAATCATTCTTAATTTACAGTGAACGCAAACTGTCGTAGTTTAATTAAAGGTGCAAACCCTTCGCTGCACGTCAGCTGCACCTTCAGCAAACCTCCTAATGCTGTGTTCACACCAGACGCAGAACGCGTGGATAAATCGCGATGTTCGCGCGAAAATTGCTGCGTGAACATTTGAGGTTACTCGCTTCATTCGCGTGTCAAACCCCGCTTCATTCGCGCGTCAAACCCCGCTTCATTCACGCGTCAAACCCCGCTTCATTCGCGCGTCAAACCCCGCTTCATTCGCGCGTCAAACCCCGCTTCATTCGCGCGTCAAACCCCGCTTCATTCGCGCGTCAAATCCGCTTCATTCGCATGTCAAATTTACTTCAGAACAGACGCGGATTCGCATGATGGGCAGGGCTTCTGTCTGCCCGGTGACTGTGGCTTCGTTGCTAAATGGCTAACATAGATTTTATGAAGAAAATAACAGTGTTTATGTACTTTATGAAGGCTGAAAAACAGCGTTGATACGTTTAGGACCGTGTCTGAGTCCACTACAT